CCCCCAAAACCCCAAAACCCCAAAACCCCTTTGTCCTTATTAAAATTTGAGCTATTGTTATTATAATTATAAATGGTTCTTAACTCATCAAAGATGTGGCTAGTGGTAGTCCTTGCTCTGGTAATGGGCTCAGTTACCTGCTTCTTAAACCCGATTAATGAGGAAATGGTTGAAAATATTAAGGAGAAGGCTAAGTCTTGGGCCCCAATGGAGGTTCATGAGAATCCCTTGTCTTCCAAGAATCCTTTTGAGCTTATTAAAACTATTGGGTCGAAAGGTATTCAGGAAGACATCTCTTTGGAAAATGATGATTTTGATGATGACGATATCCCAGAGAGTTACAACATTAAGGAGCAATGGCCTGACTGCGTCATCCCAGTGCAGAACCAGGAGTTCTGAGGAGCAGACTGGGCTCTCATTGGAGTCGGAATCCTCAGCGAAAGATACTGCATCCAATCAGGAGGAGAGACCAAGCTCAACCTCAGTGTCGAAAGCATCCTAGCCTGTGATGATCATGACTGGGGATGCAGTGGCGGATATCCAGATAGAGCCTGGGACCACATGACCGACAGCGGTATTTTAACAGAGGAATGCTTCCCATTCGAATCAAAAGATGGCCATAGGAGTCAATGTCCCTTCCAGAACAAGTGTGTTGGCACAGCAGACGCAGAGTACAAGAAATATTACTCCACTCCTTTTAACTTCTTCTCTGGAGAAAAATCAATCCAGAAAGAACTTATGGCTAATGGACCAGTCCAAACTGAGTTCCAGGTTTATGGAGATTTCTTGAGTTATAAGTCCGGAATTTACCAACATGTCACTGGAGCTAAACTTGGATTTTATTCAGCCAAAATTGTAGGCTGGGGAGTTGAAGATGACCAGAAATATTGGGTAGCCGCTTCTGTTCATGGAGAAAACTGGGGAGAAAATGGCTATTTCAGAATCCTTAGAGGTACTAATGAATGCAATTTCGAGTCAAGTACAATGGCTGGAAATCCAAGAGAGTCCTAAGGTATGATTAGTTCTCATTCATTCTACCCACAAAATACTTTGTAGAAGTCATTCTTATTTCATCATACCAGATAGAATCTTTTAGAATCATTATATTTTCTTTTCGAAAATTTTCTTCCTTTCAAAATATGAAAACAATAGTATCATCATATTAATCTATTAGACCATTCTCTCCTCTTTATCTGTATTTGAAATCTTATTGGCATCGATAATGCTTATTGTAATTGTTTTACTTTGAGCATCCAAAATTCCTCAATATTTAAAATCTGAGCAGGGGTTTTGGGGTTTTGGGGTTTTGGGGTTTTGGGG